TGTCGGGGTTTGAAACGTAATTCTGAAACATTATTGGTGCTCGTGTCCACCTCACAGTGGCGCTGAAGTTTGTAAGTCACGTGTTTCCTACGCCCTACACGTCATTTCGCCGGATGGTGTCCACGCCATTCCCAGGAACGCCCTCTAAGAGGAAACCATGGTGGAGAGTTGTTTGTTCAGAGCTAGTTTCCCGGTCAAATATAAAATAAAGGGTACTTGCCGGTCTGCATGTGTATCCATGATTGTGAAATTAGGGGGCTTGATATTTTCTAGGATGCTCCTCTTGTCTCGTCGTTTGTAATCTAGCCACGGCTTTGGGATCCAAGCATCCCATTGGTGGCAGACACTCCACCCTCCACATGGTTTTGCGTGGATGGTTGCGTGTCAGGGACAACGACACGTACGTCACGACAACTCAGATGGCCACTGGCTGAACCTGGTTTTCGTACGGCGTGGATTCCATTTCCTTCCTCGCTGGATACGTCCGTATCAATACACCCTCGTTCATACACCTCTGTCTTCCACATGTCACCTTGACACTTCCACCAAGCTTCGTTCGACTGCTCCTCTCACCTCCACTTCGCTTCGTCGGCCATTTTCAGGTGCATGCAGCTTAGTCGAGGCGCGTTATTCAGGTGCATGCCAGGTTGCGTACACTTTTCTCAGGTTAAACAATTTCTCCCGTAAATGAATACGCAGTTCAAGATTCGATAAAAATTGACACAAAAGGTCTGAAATAGATGGAATTTCGGAATACGCAAATCGGAATCGGGATGATTGGCTTTCGATGCTGCATTTTCTGACGTAACTCAGTGCAATGATTGCATTTCTGCCCAGTTTCTACGCAATTTTTTGCTTCGCACCAAATCTTTTTGAACGGATTGTAATGCTAAATCGTTTGTACTGTTGGCGCAGGTGGCGGACGCTTCGCGGGTCAAATCAGCAAACTCTAGTGGGACGTGCATTGCTTGAAAAGGGTAGTCCGAAACACGATAAATATGCCCGAGTGTTAAGAGTGAGTTACCCCTACCGCTATTAAGGATATATCGTATGTTACATGTATATTTAATGCCACGTAATTAAGGCCGTTGAATACCACCTATTTCAATATGCACGTACGGCAAACTTAGTTTGGTAGAGGCAAAATATACAAACACTCACGAAGGGTTTGCTGATTTGCCATGCGCAGCGTCCGTCATCTGCGTCAAAAGTACAATAGATCTTGTCAGAATGCTATTATTGTCTAGCCTGCAGTGGGGTACTCTATAGCGAGTACAGCCCAATCTAGGGTTTGCTATTTGTACTCAACTGCCTGCTAGTTCAACCCCTCTCCTTTCAATAATTCTTGGCTAGTTATTCTGACATGCTATCAGAGCAGGTCGACCCTCCTGGGTCGATCCTGTGGGTGGGCCCACCACCTAAGCCTTCCGCTGCTACTGCTACTGCTACTGCTACTCCCTGTCCGCCGCGCGCCCCGTGGCGCGCGGCGTCGAAACTAGGGTTTTCAGCCCGCCGTGCGCCCCGAGGCACGCGGCGGTTTTCTGCCCGCCGTGCGCCCCGAGGCGCGCGGCGGTTCTCTGCCCGCCGTGTGCCCCGAGGCGCGCGGCGGGTTCCTGCCCCGTCACTCGGCACGTCGCCCCCGGGAGGCGCTGCGACGGGCGACGGGGACCCGCGCGTCGCCCCCCGTCGCCCGTCACGGCCTGCGCGCGGCCCGTACACCCGGCACGCGGCCCGTACGGGCTGCGCCAGGCCTGCGCGCGGCCCGTACGGGCTGCGCCAGGCCCGCGCGCGGCCCGTACGGGCTGCGCCAGGCCCGCGCGCGGCCCGTACGGGCTGCGCCAGGCACGCGCGCGGCCCGTACGGGAAGCGCCAGGCCCGCGCGCGGCTCGGGCCGCCTGCGCGCGGTTCGGGCGGCTCTACCAGGCCCGTGGGCGGCCCGTTCCTCGCTGCTCCTGCCCTCTCCACTGTCCCCCGTGCTTCTACCGGCGCCTCACCCCTCCTACAGCCCGTTCTCCTAAATTAGGGTTTGGGGGTGAAGAGTGTGGGGGTGGCGGCTATGGGGGTGTCGGTTGTGAGTTCCTCCCCCTGCTCCTCCTCCTCCCTCGTCTCCCTCTGCTACAGCTGCCGCTGAGGGGGGTGGTGTGTGGGAGCCTAGGGTTTGGGGTTTAAGGGGGGTACCGTCGGAGTGGAGCTAGGGTGTCAGCAGGGGGTGTGTGAGAGGGGCGTGGGACGGTCGGGGGAGATTGCGTGGAGGTAGCCGTCGTGACGCCAGCAGCGCCAGTAGTCCGGATGCCCTCGCGCGTTTCGGTAGCCCAGCGAGCCTGCTTCGCCAGTCGCCTGTGGGTCCGTTGCTCCTGTGTGTGCTCGTCGTAGCCGCGGAGCCAGATACTCCCGTAGTCCGGTGCCCTCGTGCGCTCGGTAGCCACTGTGCGCGCCGCTCCTGTTGCCCGTGTGTCTGCAGCTTCAGTCGGCGCCTTTCATCTTCTCTCCTCTCGCCAGCCCTCCTCCTCCTCGCTTGCCCTCTGTGACTGCCTCTAGCTTTGCTCATAACTGTGAACTTTAAACTATTGCTTCTTGAACTTGTGCTCAGAATGTGTGGTGACATTGTGATCCACCCTGAGCTTGTACTGCTTTGCTTGCTCTGCTGATTACACCCCACTTTGGCTATGGGGGTGTGTCAGAATGCTATTATTGTCTAGCCTGCAGTGGGGTACTCTATAGCGAGTACAGCCCAATCTAGGGTTTGCTATTTGTACTCAACTGCCTGCTAGTTCAACCCCTCTCCTTTCAATAATTCTTGGCTAGTTATTCTGACAGATCTAGCATTAGATTCGTTCGAAATGAGTTGGTGCAAAGCAGAAATTTGCGTATAAATTGGACAAAATGCAATCATTGCACTGAGTTACGTCAGAAAATGCAGCATCGAGAGCCAACCATTCCGATTCCAATTTGCGTAGCCCGAAATTGCATCTATTTCAGACCTTTTGTGCCAATTTTAATCGAATCTTGAACTGCGTGTTAATTTACGAGAGACATTTTTTAACCTGAGAAAAGTGTAAGCAACCTGGCATGCACCTGAATAACGCGCCTCGACTAAGCTGCATGCACCTGAAAATGGCCGTCGCTTCGTTCGACGCTCCCCTCACCCCACAGCCTCGCACAAGCAACGGCCATTTTCAGGTGCATGCAGCTTAGTCGAGGCGCGTTATTCAGGTGCATGCCAGGTTGCGTACACTTTTCTCAGGTTAAACAATTTCTCCCGTAAATGAATACGCAGTTCAAGATTCGATAAAAATTGACACAAAAGGTCTGAAATAGATGGAATTTCGGAATACGCAAATCGGAATCGGGATGATTGGCTTTCGATGCTGCATTTTCTGACGTAACTCAGTGCAATGATTGCATTTCTGCCCAGTTTCTACGCAATTTTTTGCTTCGCACCAAATCTTTTTGAACGGATTGTAATGCTAAATCGTTTGTACTGTTGGCGCAGGTGGCGGACGCTTCGCGGGTCAAATCAGCAAACTCTAGTGGGACGTGCATTGCTTGAAAAGGGTAGTCCGAAACACGATAAATATGCGCGAGTGTTATGAGTTGTCAAAATGAAGAATGGATGATGCATTGATGTTGGTTGGGGTACATATAGCTAACCCTAAGTTTTGTACCCCCTAAGACAAACCTCACTATAGGCTACAACATTTGACACACCCCCATAGCCTAAGTGAGGGGTGTCTAGCAGAACCAAACGAGTACGGTCACAAGACCAGTCCAAGAAACGAAGCTCAGGGTGGATCACAACGTCACCACACAGTCTGAGCACAAACAACAGTGGCCACAAGGCCAGTCCAAGAAGTAACAGAGATATATAGAAAGCAAAGTAAACAGTACACTCAAGTCTAAGCAACACGAGAACCAGTGTCAACAAGGCCTAACTGCACACAGCACCTCTGGTGGTCACAAGGCGGAAGCGCCTTGGTGAAGATGTCTGCAGTGTTGGCCTCGGACTCCACAAACTCAAAGCGAGCCTGTCCACGCCTCTGCAACTCTCGCAGAAGAAAGTACCTGACGTGAATGTGCTTCACTCTGCTCTCCAGTCGTGGCTCTCGACAAAGGAGAATAGACGCCTTGTTGTCAGTGAACAAGGTCGGTGCAGAGCTCGGCCGCTCACCAAGGTCGGTGAGCAAGAAGGTCAACCAACGCAGCTCCTGTGCCGCCATGGCACCAGCGTAGATCTCAGCCTCAGCTGTAGAGGTCGAGACCGAAGAGGAGCGCGTGGACCGCCAGGAAACAGCTCCAGAACCCAGGCTGAAACAGTACCCCTGAGTAGACCTGTGAGTCTCAGCGTCGTCAGCGTAAGAGGAGTCACAGTGACCAGTAAGTACGACAGACTGCTGCCCTCCAAGAACTAGCCCCACGCCTGATGTCGTCGCTAGGTACTTCGCCACCCTCACAGCTGCTGTCCAGTGAACAGGACGGTGTCTCCCTGGCGCAACAAAGCGCGCAAGAACGCTGAGAGGGAAGGCGAGGTCCGGGCGAGTACAGGTCATCGGGCTACAAGCTCTGCGTAGGGACCACTAGGCTCGAACGGCTCGTCAGGAAAGGGTCCAGTGAGTCTGTGGTCAACAGCAAGAGGTGTGCGCTGTACTGTGGAGTGCTGAAGCCCGAACCGCTGAAGGACCTGCTGCACCATGTGCGACTGTGAAAGTGTAATGGTGCGAGCAGCTCTGTCCCTGGTGATCTGCAGGCCAAGGTAGTGGCGCAGCTCACCAAGATCAGTGCAGGTGTGTCTCTTCTGCAGTTCGGACTTCACGTGTGCCAAAGCAACCCTGTCAGGGGTGGCGAAAACAAGGTCGTCAACGTAGACCAGAACAAAGAAAGGTGTGGGGCCACGACGAACGAACAGCGACGGGTCAGCAGAAGACGGCTGGAACCCAAGGTCAGACAGGGTAGAACGCAGGGTGTCGTGCCACTCACGAGGAGCCTGACGAAGACCGTAAACC